AAAATAATGAATGTAATAAAATAGAATAAAATAATGTAAATGTAATAATACCAATAATAAGACTAAAATAATAAATGTAACAATAAAATGTAAATGTAACAATAAAAGTAGAGTAAAATAACAAATGTAATAATAATAATAATAGAGTACATTAATAAATGTAATAAAATAAAACTAATAACAATGTAAAATAATAAATAACTTTGACTCAGGTAAAAGTTGAGGGGGACTTTTTCAGCCTAAAAAGGGGGCTGAAAAACTTGGGTTATACTTGAGTATATGCAATAATTGCATATTCTGTCAATGTTATTATTAAAGTAAGCAAAACCTCTAGGAACATCATTGGGAAGGACAATCACAGTCAAATGAGACTTGTCAGACAATCTCTGGTACCTGTTTTCCTATATTACTGGGTATAACAATTCCAAATTACAATTTAAAACAAACTTTATTGACTGAATTAACACGTTATCATTGGCTATGAGATAATATTCAGTAATTTTTTAAACTGCGGTCAGCATTCATAACACTAACTAGAAAAAGAAGGGATATAAAATGAAATTTAAAATGCTGCAGCCATTCACCTGAAGATACACATGCCACTGCTTTGTTAGAGATCGGCAGAACTATTCATCTGCAAAATTCTGAAAGAAGGACTGTGTGTAATCCAATTTTGTCCATGACAGCGAAAATGCCATTGCCTTGAAACCCAGTACTTCTTAATCAAGAGTGAATCCCAGTAGTGAAACCCAATCTTGCTCCCTGAGATCCTTAGATAAAAGGCAGGATGCAAATATTTTAATTAAAAAATAACACTCTAGATATCTTATGATAAGATGATTGAATGTAAATATTCTAATGAATATATAAGTAGATAGTATTAGAAATTATGCCTTCGCAATGTTTTTTTTTCCTCATTTAGATTACTTTTTATAGAATTCCCTGGAAAATTATTTCACCAGGTTTTATTTCATGCAGTTGATGCCTGACCTTCCAACGTGAAGGTACAACTATTACAGAACATATGCATAGGCTCTTTAGAGATGTTCACATGCATTATATCAATGTATCAGTAAATTTTACAACAGACCACTAAAACACGCCAGTGTTATTGTTCCTTATACACCAATAACAGAGAGCCAATAATAATCAACAAGTTTACAGTAAACATTACATTTGAACATAGGCACTCCCAGCTTACACTCAAAATATAGGCCGCACATCAAGAAATTTGTAACTAGTGGTATAGGCATGAATATTGAAGTGTCTACACTCCCAAACATCTAAGGACAATCCAAAATGGCAGGCAGCTGTGTACATTCATATCAACAAGTCAACTCCAGAGAAGATCTTTTGTAATAATAAGTTTCTGTCACCTCTTGAAGACAGAGCTTCCACTACTCCTCCCCAAACACTTAACATAAAAGCAGGGAGATGTAACAACAATATATTATTCCTGGGAAAATCTATTTCCAACCCAGATATAGCAAAAATTGGTAATGTCTGAATTTTACTACAACAGTCCCAGACATTATTCTGATTTAAACACAAGACAAAACAACGCACTTTCAAAAATTATGATATAGTGATAAAAACTACTGATGTATCCATTAGCAGCTAAACTACACTCTATTTTGCTGCTATGAGTGTCTAATCTTCATCTATTTGAACAACAAAAAGTATAGGAAATTAAAGCAAATCACAAGTATTCAAACTACACTACTGAACTGAATATCAGCCCTTTTGAGGTTAAATCTAACCCATGCTTTTGGTATTTGCGCCTCAGTCCTGAAACAAAGTATATAGGAAGAAAAAGATACATTTTGAAAGGTACATTTCACTCCAATGCCACAAATAATCTTTTGGGCACCTACAGATGAAAGTTTTGTTATGGGAAATGCTTTTATGGATAGAATAGATAGAATACATAGAAGATGCAACTTCAATTAACAGGTTCACTTGCAATCCACATTATATGCTTTGAACTGGATTATATGAAGGTCCTTCCACACAGCCATTTAACCCAGAATATCAAGGCAGATGAGTCCCCCCAGGGGTGAGAAAGGCAGTTTATAAATACTGTAAATAATAAATAATAATAATAATCCATAATATCTGCTTTGAACTGGGTATCTGAGTCCACACTGCCATATAATCCAGTTCAAAGCAGATAATGTGAGATTTTATACAGCTGTGTGGAAGGGACTTGAGTCTACACTGCCATATAATCCAGTTCAAAGAGGATAATCTGAATTTTATATGGCAGTGTAGAAGAGATCTCAGAGGAAGAGAAAGGTAACCTCTCTGAACTAATCTTCCCAAGAAAATCCCTTGATAGGTTTGCCATAAATCTAAATGTCTAAAGGTAGCCAACAACATATTTATACTAAAGTATGTATAAATATTAGACACGCCTTATATAATGAGAAGGTATGACCCATTAGAAAAACCAATAGCAGGCACCAGGAAAAGAAAAGACTGTATTACAAGTTGATAGAGTCAATGAAGGAAGCCATAACCCTGAGGGCCCTTCCACACAATCAAATAATCCAGAACATCATGGCAGAAAATCCCACAATATCTACTTTGAACTGGAATACATGGCAGTGTGGACTCAGATAGCACAGTTCAAAGCAGATATTGAGGGATTTTCTGTTGTGTGGTTACTGGACTGGAACACGGCCATACAGCCAGACAAAACCCCAGCAATTCCGTCCATGAAAGCCTTCAACAATACACTGTATAAAGTCACTTTCAAGCTATATGTGGAAGGTGTGTGCGAAAAACAACACTATGTATTTAGACTTGGGTCCAATATCCAAGTACATTTTTAGCCTCCCGTACAGGGAGGGAACTACTCCCACGTTGTGGCAGCTCCACTGGCTGCCAATCTGCTTCCTGGCTAGATGCAAAGTGTTGGTTATTACCTTAAAGCCCTAAATGCTTCAGGTCCAGGCTATTTGACAAATTGCATCTCCTCGTACAACCAACTTGGACACTGCAGTCAGCAGAAGAGGCCCTGCTCTCAGTCCCACCTCCATCTCAAGTACTGGGAACGAGAGAAAGGGCAACTCCCACCTTTGGAAATCCCTACCTAATAAATAAAAATGACACCCCCCCCCCATTCTCTCCTTCAGAAAACAATTAAAAACCTAGGGAGGATTATAAATTTACATATCGATATAAATAAAAATGTAATGTTCATTTGTGAGATTAACAAAACTCAAAAACCACTGGACGAATTGACACCAAATTTGGACACATTACACCTATTAGGCCAACGAGTAACCATCACTCATAAAAACATTAAAAACACAGCAGAAGAGACCTTAATAGGCAAAAAAAAATTAAAATTACAACACATGCGCAAAACCACATATATACACATACATACACACACAAAACACATATACAGACTGGGCCACAGCAACACATGGCAGGGGACGGCTAGTAGTTAATATACCACCGACTGGAAATCCTATCACACTCTGGCTCTGTTGGTTCTGGTTCAGTAGGCTTTGTTGACTCTGTTGGTTCTTTTGGCTGCATAATAATTTTAATAAGTATTTTAACTGAATGTTTAATCGTGGTTTTATATAAATTTATGTTCAATGTCTTTAATGTTTTTAGGTTAAATGTTAGATTATGTCATGTTATGTGATATGTTATGTTACAATATAATTTTGGGGTTATATGTCTGGGTGACAGTATGATAGCTGGGTCCAGAAGCTCCGAGCGTTACTGAGATGCCGCAAAGGCGGCTGTGAATAAGGGAAGAGAGGGGGCGGAGTGAGAGCGGGGAGAACGAAGAAAAATAGAAAGGAGGGGATGCTTAGGGTAAGGGTTAGGGCAAGGTTTAGGGTTTGGATTTGGGTTAGGGTTGCGGTTAGGGTAAGAGTTAAGTGTTATGGTTAGGGTACGGTTTAGGGTTAGGGTAAGGTTTAGGGTTTGGGTTAGCATAAGGATTAAGGTAAGGATTTGGGTTACGGTAAGGGTTTGGGTAAGTGGTTATGCTTAGGCTTACAGTTTGGTTCAGGGTAAGGGTAAGGTTTAGGGTTTGGGTTAGCGTAAGGGTTAGGCTAAGGTTTAGTGTTTGGGTTAGGGTAAGGGTTTGGGTAAGTAGTTAGGCTGAGGCTTATGGTACGGTTCAGGGTAAGAGTTAGGGTAAGGTTTAGGGTTTGGGTTAGCGTAAGAGTTAGGCTAAGGTTTATGGTTTGAGTTAGGGTAAGGGTTTGGGTAAGTGCTTAGGCTTACGGTATGGTTCAGGGTAATGGTTAGGATAAGGTTTAGAGTTTGGGTTAGGGTTAGGGTAAGGTTTAGGGTTTGGGTTAGGGTAAGGGTTTAGGTAAGTGGTTAGGTTTAGGCTTAGGCTTACAGTACGGTTCAGGGTAAGGGTTAGGGTTTCACCATTAAAGAACTCTTATATTTCTTCTATATTATCTGTCTCTGGCTTGGCTTACATTAGCTAAGTCTCTCTTGCGCAAACAGCGCTTTCAAAGGAGCGATGCACCATCTCCGTAACACTCAGAGCTTCCGGACCCAACTATCATACTATTACCTATGTTTGTCTCAGATATTGGTTTCTGTTGGCTTATTTTGGGCACTGGTCGATTTGTTATTTGTATTCGTTTTGATGAATATATTATGGCATTGAATGTTTGCCATTTTTTGCTGAAATCCGCACTGAGTCTAGGGTTAAATACAAATAAAGTTGTTGTTTGTTTGTGTATTTCTTTATCCAGAATTCCAAAATGCTCCAAAATCAAAAACTACCTTCAGGGTGTGTGTAGACCAGGCCTGGGCCAACTTGGGCCTTCCCTCCAGGTGTTTTGGACTCCAACTCCCACAATTCCTAACAGCCTACCGGCTGTTAGGAATTGTGGGAGTTGGAGTCCAAAACACCTGGAGGGAAGGCCCAAGTTGGCCCAGGCCTAGTGTAGAGGCGCCTCCCCTTGTACACAACCCTCCTTCCCTTCTCTTCCCTTCCTTCCCAGGCTTACAGCGTGTGCCCGCAGACGTTGACCATCAGCTTGAGGGAGGGGTTCCTGTACTTGGTGGTCTTGCAGCGAGGGCAACACTGGTCCTCCATGGCCAGCCCTTCTCCCCTCTTCTCACAGAGCCTTCCCTTCTCCTGCCAGCAGAGTCCCTCCGCAAACAACGACCGGCCGGAACTCGGGCTGCGGAAGAAAGGTTCCTCTTCGAGGGAGGAGCTATGCAAATGAAGGCAAAGGCAGAAAGAATGCAGCCTGATACACACAGCCCATATAGAATCATAGAATCATAGAATCAAAGAGTTGGAAGAGTCCAACCCCATTCTGCCAAGAAGCAGGAATATTGCATTCAAATCACCCCTGACAGATGGCCATCCAGCATCTGTTTAAAAGCTTCCAAAGAAGGAGCCTCCACCACACTCCGGGGCAGAGAGTTCCACTGCTGAACGGCTCTCACAGTCAGGAAGTTCTTCCTCGTTCAGATGGAATCTCCTCTCTTGTAGTTTGAAGCCATTGTTCCATTGCGTCCTAGTCTCCAAGGAAGCAGAAAACAAGCTTGCTCCCTCCTCCTCCCACAATTCAAGAGAGATATTGACAAGTTAGAATGTGTCCAGAGGAGGGCGACTAAAATGATAAAGGGTCTGGAGAACAAGCCCTATGAGGAGCGGCTTAGGAACTGGGCATGTTTAGCCTGAAGAAGAGAAGGCTGAGAGGGGATATGATAGCCATGTATAAATATGTGAGAGGAAGCCACAGGGAGGAGGGAGCAAGCTTGTTTTCTGCTTCCTGGAGACTAGGACGCTGGAACAATGGCTTCAAACTACAAGAGAGGAGATTCCATCTGAACATGAGGAAGAACTTCCTGACTGTGAGAGCCGTTCAGCAGTGGAACTCTCTGCCCCGGAGTGTGGTGGAGGCTCCTTCTTTGGAAGTTTTTAAACAGAGGCTGGATGGCCATCTGTCAGGGGTGATTTGAATGCAACATTCCTGCTTCTTGGCAGAATGGGGTTGGACTGGATGGCCCATGAGGTCTCTTCCAACTCTTTGATTCTAGATTCTATGAAAATACAATATAATGATATAGTACAATATAGTAATATTTAATACTGATATTGTACTATGCTAATATTATATATATATGTGTGTGTGTGTGTATGTATATGTATATGTATATTGTGTGTGTATGTGTGTGTGTTTATGTATGCATGTATATTTATATTGTAAGCCGCTCTGAGTCCCCTTGGTGGTGAGAAGGGCGGCATATAAATGTCATAAGTAAATAAATAAATAATCTGGATTGTACAAGGCAGTGTAGAAGCACTCTTTGGCAGCCTCCCAGATATTACTGTATCACAACTCCCATCAGCTCTAGCCATGATGTCTATTTATGGAGGGCCATATAAAAATGAGTTTGAGGGTCCTTCCAGACAGCAGAAAGCAGAAAATGTGGAATTTTATTCAGCTGTGTGGAAGGGGCCTCAAATACAGCCTCGGATTAGTTGGCAGTCTCCCACCCAAGTACTAGCCAAGGCCGACCCTGCTTAGCATCCCAGATCAGATAGCCTTTAGGACAGGCATGGGCAAACTTCGTTTTTCGGGGTGTTTTGGACTCCAAAACACTTGGAGGGCCGAAGTTTGCCCATGCCCGGTCTCCAACGTAGATGCTCCCATAGTTAGTAAGCATTGGGAGATAATTGCCACGCCTCCATTCTAAGTAATCCTAGGATGTATTATTTGGCGACAATACAGAGGAGAAATCTCTCAGGAAACTCTATAATCCACCACTCCATAGGATGCAGACCTGGAATTGGGATCCACTTAATTGTTTGTAGCGTGGGGATCAAAAATCAAAGCTATTTGCAAGTAACGCAATGCTTGGATTTAGAGATCTTGCAGGTATTTATTTATATGTAAATATTACAAGTCATTCGACGTTAAAGCCCCAAAAGAAACACGACGGAATTGGGGTGATTCTCCCACAGGGATGTCGAGGTTCGTAGCTAAATTTCAAACCCAAATGCTCATTCTTAACAGGTTTATGGATCGCCTGTGTGGTTTGTCATTAAGACACAGGATGAATCTACACTGAAGCGTTAATGCAGTTCGACCCTCCTTTGGACTGCCGTGGCTCAATGCTACGGAATCATGGGAGTTGTGGTTTTTGTAAGGTCTTTCGTCTTCTGTAGATGCCCAATAGTGCTGGTGCCTCGTCAAACTACAAATCCCAGGATTTCATAGTATTGATTGAGCCCTGGTACTGCAAGTGGTGTCAAACCGAATTCATTCTACAGCGTAGATTAGATGCACCCTGGGCTTGTCAACCAATTTCTGAATCAGATTTCGTGGCAAGGCTGGATCTGCAGTAGAAAAAAGGAAATGTCTGTATCTCCCATCTGTATTTCTATGTATTCCTGGAAGAGCTAGGATGTGCAGCATAAGACGATTTGAGAAAGAAGGGATCCAATCAAATAAAGCTTCAAGCTAAGATCCTTTGACATGTTAGATTCGGGAAGTATATAATAAAGCACTAGCGGTCCCCTGCCAGGCGTTGCTGTGGCCCAGTCTGGTGATCTGGAAAATAAAGTAATGAGAAAGTGTTGGTTTCGAATATATGTAATTTCTTTATGCTTATGGGTAAACAGTATTTCTTGTTGTTTCTTTGTCAGTGTTGATGTAGAGATTGTCTGGTTCCCTACTCTGGAACATGTAACATATCATTGTCCTTCTTTAGGACCCCTAAAGAAGGACAATGTTCCATACATCTATCTGTCATATACATGTGTGTGTGTGTGTGTGTGTGTGAATCATATCTATCTATCTATCTATCTATCTATCTATCTATCTATCTATCTATATCTATGGCTGGATGGCTCTTTGTCAGGAGGGCTTTGATTATGTTTTCTTGCCCTGGGGAAGGGAGTTGGACTGGATGGCCTTAAGGCAGCATTTCTCGACCTGGGGGTCTGGACCCCTGGGGTGTCCCGAAGGGGTGACAGAAGGGGTGACAAAGACCACCAGAAAACACAGTATTTTCTGTTGGTCATGGGGGTTCTGTGGGGGTTCTGTGTGGGAATTTTGCCCAATTCTATCCTTAGTGGGGTTCAGAATGCTCTTTGATCGTAGGTGAACTATAAATCCCAGTAACTACAACTCCCAAATGTCAAGGTCTATTACCCCCAAACTCAATCTGTGTTCATATTTGGGCATATGGAGTCGTCATGCCAAGTTTGGTCTAGATCCCTCATTGTTTGAGTCCACAGTGCTCTCTGGATGTAGGTGAACTACAACTCCAAAACTCAAGGTCAATGCCTACCAAACCCTTCTAGTATTTTCTGTTGTTCGTGGGAGTTTTGTGTGACAAGTTTGGTTTAATTCAATTGTTGGTGAAGTTCAGAATGCTTTTTGATTGTAGGTGAACTATAAATCCCAGTAACGACAACTCCCAAATGTCAAGGTCTATTTCCCCCAAACTCCATCTGTGTTCATATTTGGGCATATGGAATACTCGTGCCAAGTTTGGTCTAGATCCTTCATTGTTTGAGTCCACAGTGCTCTCTGGACGTAGGTGAACTACAACTCCAAAACTCAAGGTCAATGCTGAGAATGCTTGCCATAGATGCAGGCGAAACGTCAGGAGAGAATGCTTCTAGAACATGGTCATATACCCCCAAAACCTACAACAACCCAGTGATTCCAGCCATGAAAGCCTTCGACAATAGATAGATAGATAGATAGATAGCACTAGTGCTTTGTGGATCTTTTTGGTGGCAGCTCTTAGTGTGCATCTACACAGAGGAATGAATGTGCTTTGACACTACTTTAGATGCTAGGGCTTAATGCCATGGAATCATACCAGTTATAGGTTGTTGTAGGTTTTTTTTTCGGGCTATATGGCCATGTTCTAGAGGCATTCTCTCCTGACGTTTCGCCTGCATCTGTGGCACGCATCCTCAGAGGTAGTGAGGTCTTTTGGAACTAGGAACATTGGTGTATTATATATATATATATATATGGAGGCCCGCAAATGAGTTTATATATATTGTCGAAGGCTTTCATGGCCGGAATCACTGGGTTGTTGTAGGTTTTTTCGGGCTATATGGCCATGTTTTAGAGGCATTCTCTCCTGACGTTTCGCCTGCATCTATGGCAAGCATCCTCAGAGGTAGTGAGGTCTGTTGGAACTAGGAAAATGGGTTTATATATCTGTGGAATGACCAGGGTGGGACAAAGGACTCTTGTCTGCTGGAGCTAGGTGGGAATGCTTCAACTGACCACCTTGATTAGCATTTGATGGCCTGACAGTGCCTGGAGCAAACTTTTGTTGAGAGGTGAGGCCATTGTATGCTAATCAAGGTGGTCAGTTGAAACATTCACACCTAGCTCCAGCAGATAAGAGTCCTTTGTCCCACCCTGGTCATTCCACAGATATATAAACCCTTTTTCCTAGTTCCAACAGACCTCACTACCTCTGAGGATGCTTGCCATAGATGCAGGCGAAACGTCAGGAGAGAATGCCTCTAGACCATGGCCATATAGCCCGAAAAAACCTACAACAACCCATAGCAGTTATAGTTTGTTGAGGCACCAGCAGTCTTGGGCAGAGAAATCTAAAGATCTGTAGCGTTAAGTTTAAGGGATGTCGAACTGGATTAGCTCCGCAGTGTAGATACACGTCGTGACTGCTAAAACTGAGTTCACATTCATGAAGCTCGGGCTCTTACGGCTGGGTTGACTTGGAAGCTTTCATCCTGAGGAATGGAGGCTTTCCTTGGCTTTGAGGATCCCCCAAAAGAGCAGGAAGGAAAGGAAATCGAAAAAAAGACACCGCGCAAAGCTTTCTCTGAGTCATCCAGCGTCTCTCTTTCCACTTCTCTCTCTGGCACGCTGGCATTTTGCGTGTCACAGCCTCTCTCTCTCTCTCTATTGGACTTTCCCCACTCTGGGCTTTGTTTGTGTGGGCTTTCACGACGCCTGTCGTCCTCTGGCAATCCTATAGTTTCCTTAGGCAAGGAAAAGAGGCGAGTTTGGCCACTTCCCTCCTCTTAAATATAGCATTGGAATCCGTCAATGGGCTCCCATCCATGGACCAACCAGAACTGACCCTGCTTGATTGGCAGGAACAGGCTGGATTTAGTGTCTTGAGAATCTATTTAATCGGTCGTTTCTACAAATCAGAAAA